ATAATAAAAGGCAAATTCAGCGAAGAAAATTTTTTTTAAAGTGTTGGTTTGTAGGGATTTGATTGGTTACAGGATTTTCATCACGAGCTGACATTAGTTAGAGAACCATCGGAAAACCTGGGAGTACTGGACAACTGTTTCGTCGTAGATTGGAACTCTTCAGCAGTACGCACCCACCGGGATTCAAACCCAGGACCTTCTGGTTACAAATCCCTACAAACCAACACTTGAATATCAACGAGATGCTCACTAGCGACTTGCCCTATTCAGCTGGGTAGTTACCTGGGGTTCTAGTGAGAATTCGTAACCAGTAAGGTGCGGCAGGTGGGGTGTGAGGACAAATACTCGCCGAAGACATTGGCTAGGGGTCGGGCTATGTCGTGAATTGGCAGAAGTTAAAATTCATGGGCCATTGGATCGGGTCCCAGTGGCTTAATGGTCTACGAGCTCACTCGCCTTGTAGTCAGAAGGTCCTGGGTTCGAATCTCGGTGGGTGCGTACTGATGAAGAGTCCCAAACTATGACGAAACAGCTGTCGAGTACTCCCAGGTTTTCCAATGGTTCTCTAACTAATGTCAGCTCATGATGAAATCCTCCACGCAATCAAACAAAATCCCTACAAAACCAATACTTGAAAATTAAATCTTTGTGACAACATGTACCATTTGAAATCAGTCACGTCTCCGTAAATCAGCACTGGAAAATATATAAGTGATCACAGAATAAAGAACAGTCGGAAAAAAGGTTACGCAATTTAGATACTCAGAATGTTGCATAATGGAGTAATGGAAAATACTGTGAGCTTTATTCTTAAATGCATCATTCCAGTTTCCATTGTCTAGTAGCCAAACTGTCAAGGTTGGAAATTGAATGAATTTTCGCACACTTAATACATTCTGACGATTGATTGAAATAGTGTTGAATAAGGTAAGACCAAGCAAGTCTTTTAAAGGACTTTCTGATACATCTTCTGTCCACTGTAGAAGCTCTCACGCTACCCAGGGAGAACTCTGAAGTGTGTATACAGAAGAAGCTTGTCAAATCCCGTTTGTTGGAATTAATAGGGATTTGGATAAATTTGAGTGTAGATTTCGTCACAAACCCTGAACACCCCGAGTTCTATCCCCAGTGGGGTAGTCGGCGTGCACCGCTGAAGAGCTTCAAACTAAGACGAAACCGTTGTCCGCTTGAACCACCAGCTACCATCATTGGGGCGGTGGGGGGGAGAAATCTTTCATTTACCTCACTTGGGAAGCATCATTTCAACTAAAACTGGGACGGATAAAGATGTCAGCCCCAGGGTTGAAAAAGTAAGACATATATATTCATTATTCTGAAATCAATGTGAAGCTGCAGTGTACTTAGCACAAGGCGCAAGAGTGAGTACTTTTACAGGGTTCGAAGAATTCGATCTGTCCTTCATCAAAATAAATAAATAACTTGTTAGAATGTTATAATGTGAATTGAATACATTTTAACACTATTTATTATCCTCCTCTGATTTGACTGGTGGTAATAAAATCTTCCATATTTCTGGTATTTTAATTGAGTCACTTCTATTGCATGTGTTGTGTTGGGTGTAGATTCGATGAACTAGGCAGGATTCAGTAATCAACCTCTATCTCTTTCTCCACCCATCTACATATATTACTCTTTAGAATTTTAACTCTGTCTCACCCACTCTATTGTGTGGTTGTGCATTAATGCATGCAGTGCAATTGCTGAGTGCTTTTTTCTAAATTACTTATCATTCTAACCTTGGCTAATTTCTTATGTTCTGACAGGCAATCTCACTACTCCCGATCTACTAGTTTGACCTATGTAGTTGACTTAACTCACAGTCATTGAAAGGTATTTTGTAAATTATACTATTTTGTCGAATCAATTTTACTAGTGTACATAAATGAAGTAAAAAGTTGTGTGAGTGAGTGACTTGATATGATTATGAGTAGCAATAAATTGTGCTCGAAACGTGGTCATCAGTTAATATTATTGTATAACACACTGTGTGACTTTATCAAAATAAAATCTTATCTATAATAAAGTGAGTGACCTGCGTTGACAGTGATTAGTGCTGGTTGTTGTTGCTATCGGTTTGTAATCTTCATCATCTCCGTCTTCCTTATGTTTGGGAATCATCGGCAGTACGCACCCACTGGGATTCGAACCCAGGACCTTCCGGTTACAAGGCAAGCTCGTATACCATTCAGCCACTGGACCATTGACAGGTCTGAACTACGTCAACTCCTAGCTTAGTGATAGGGAGTGAGTGAAGTGATAGAACATGTTGACCACTTCACCTATTTGGGAAGTTGTATCAGCACCAACGGATTGATTGGTGACGAAATCTCAGCACGGATCCAAAAAGCTCAGGCTGCTTTCGCTAACTTACACCGTCTCTGGCGTAGGCGTGACATCCGGCTGTCAACCAAGGGACGTGTATACTGCTCATCAGTTCGCTCCGTCCTTCTCTATGGCGGTGAGACGTGGCCATTGAGAGCGGAAGACATGAAGAGATTGTCTGTTTTTGACCACAGTTGTTTACGATCTCTTTCTCGCGTTAGGTGGTATAATAAGGTAAGTAATGTTGACGTCAGGCGTAGAGTGTTGGGCAAAGAGCGAAAATCAATCGAAGAGGCCATAAAGTTACATAGATTGAGATGGCTAGGTCACGTGCTGCGCATGCCTAACCATCGCCTCCCCCAGCCCGACGGGCATTACTAGCTGATATAGGTGCAGGTTGGAAAAGAGTAAGTGGTGGCCAAACAAAAACATCGCATCAATCAATCCATGAAATCCCTGACAGTTAAACTGAGTCAGGTAGGGAGATGCAGACTTCCGGGTTGGGGCCCTCGGGACTCTAAGAACCAATGGCTGGAGACACTAGGTGACATGGCTCAAAATCGTTGTCAATGGCTTACGCAGATGTATTCAGTCTCTGTAATCTTTCATATTCCTTTCTACCATTACTCATTCTGTTCCACTCTTATACTTGTCAAAACTCTATTGATTCTCTTCACTCATTTTCTTGTCTACCTTTGTGTGCTATTTGGAACGTGGCAACTCGAACTGTTGCACTTCGGTGCCAAATTCTATGTTGAATCCAGCCAGCCTGCTTCCTTATGTTCACTCGAAGTCCTGTCTTCACTACCTACCAGTCTCTTCTGACAATCTGTTGTTTTTTCTCCTGTAAGTCTTCAAGTTTTTGTGACCAATAGACTTTAATCATCTGAGAAATCCAGATCTTATAGAGTCTTCTCATCGGTGATCCAGCGTATTCCTCCCTTCTTGTATTGCTGTGGGGAGAGAAAAGACAGGAAAGCACTAGACCGATAAGAAGACTCCAGAATATCTGGATTTCTCAGATGAGTAATGTCTAATAGTCACACAAACTCGAAGACTCACAAGGGAAAATCACCACTGGTTGATGTGTGAGTGAGTAGTGTACAAATACTCATCTCAATCAATCGATAGTATACATATTTCTCCTGCTCAAATCACTTAGAGAATCATTGAAAACCAGGCTGCTGCCTAAACTAGGATGCACAATCTGAGATGCTAGTAATAAATGTTCCTTCTGAAACTGTCAAAGATGATAGATACATGTTCTGGTTATGTTTGAGAATCATCGGTAGTCCATCCCGTCCTCTTCCCCCAATTATCCCCTACCAAAGAGTGATCATAGGATTACCAAATCACGAAACAAGCACGTTTTATATTCATCCCGTTTTTCATTCCTTGAGTTCTAGATGGAACATCGGGCTTCAAACTTTGAAGTTTCAGTGGCGGTGACGTTTTTACTTTTACTTTGCATGACTGCCCAATCTTCTCTCTCTTTTCTAGTCTTATTATCAACTATCAACATAGCTAAGGTTTTGAAGCACACATCAATCAGGGGTTGAACCTAGACTACATGCATGTCTGATGAGCTTTCTACCAGCGAACCACTAAGTATCCATCTAATCCGCTCGTAACATTTACATATGATGGAGAAGATTTGTAACTCAAGTGGATGATTTTGATGTGGTTGTGTTCTCTGAGCTGGATATTTTATTTGCGAAGTTTTCATCACCCTACAAGGCAACATCTTCAGCGCGTACTTCAATTCATTGAAGTGAGCTTTTAGATTTCTCCACAAGTTTATTAGTCATCCCTCCCGCTGACCTTGAACCTGACTGGTTGTTTTGTGTGTTTTCACACATTCTAAGCTAACTGTATTGGTGATGGTTGTTTCCTTGACTTGAACTCTGATCCTTTGTATGCGAGGTTTTCTACTTATCGGTTGGTAAATTTTGTCTATGCCGATGTTTCAATTGATCGACGATTCACTGGAATACCAGGCAGGCTTCTAAAAATTCTCTAGCATTCTCGGTGTTTCCTCAGTCTAAAATTTGAGCGCTGGTTGTCCCAGTCGAATTGATGTCCGTGGTTGTCTGTATGTAGTGATATGAGGGAGTGGATGTCATGTCTTTTGACGGTTAGTTTATGTTCATGAATACAAAGACGAAGGGGACGTCCCCTTGACAAAATTTATCAACCGATAAGAAAGAAACCTCACACATAAAGGCTCAAAGTTCAAGTCAAAGAAACAATCAGTTCCAATATAAGTAGCCTAGAAGGTGTGGAAACAAAAAAACAACCAATCACGTCCAAGGTCAGCATGAGAGATGACTTATAAACTTGTGGAGAAATCTAAAAGCTCACTTTAATTCAAATTGAAGTATGCGCTGAAGATGTAACCTAGTAGGGTGATGAAAGCTTCGCAAATGAACTATCCAGCTCAGAAAACACAACCACATCAAAAATCCATCTATTCGGTTGGCATTCACTGGCCTGAAAAAATCGCAACTATTTTGATCCTAATTCCGTTTTAATTAACCTTTGAACATCTTATTTGTTGCAGATCGTTTTTAAATCTCTTTTTTTAAAATATATTAAGACGAGAAAGAACTCAATGTTCAATTAAATAATCAATAACTCATTTGCTCGTTTTATTTTAGAAGCGCCTGGTTTAAAAGATCCCGGTGTTATCGATTCTATTCAAGAAAGAATTCAGTGTGCTTTAGAAGAACACGACAGATATCATTATTCACATTATCAACCATTTCGTTTTGGTCGTCTACTTTTACGCCTACCAAAGTTAAAACAAACCGCCTCCTCGCCATCTTTGTTACTATGGTTACAGGAAAGGTTTTTACCAACTATAGACTATGGACAAAAAAGGATAGAAGTGCTGATTAAAGAAATTTTTGAAAAATCACTTTCTTTTCAAGGAATTCAAGTGATGCAGAAGTTTAATCCAACTTTTGGACAAAATTTAATGTCATATCTAAATCCTGGGAGGCATTCTTTTTTACAGCCACCCGCACCAGCCTTCTCTTCCACTCGTCACTCTCTACCATCATCTGGAGGATTCCCAATATCTCAGTCAACCCCTGTGTCGTCAGAGAAACTTGACAAGACCTCATTTCCATTGTTCAGTCCACTTACGGACTGTGTGATCAAGCACCCTAATGATGTGCTACCTTTAAAGAGTCCTTTGTCCAGGTATCTATCCTCCATATGCAGTTCAACTGTGCCTTTATCACAGTGTGAAGATAACAGCAGTGCTGTTCCCTTCAACTTCGTTAACAATCATCCCAGTCATAGTTCATCATGGTTGTCAGACGTAGTTAAATCTGCAGAGTCTCCTACAATTCCCAACAGTAACGATTATCCTGTCAGAAGTAAATCAATGAATGACAATTATAACTCACATGAATTTTCACCGCATAAAGAGACTACTTATAATGGTAGTAATAGTAGTAGTAGTATTAGTAGTAGTGTGAATGTCATCACATCCCAGTCATCACCATCTTTATCACCATTGTCGAAAATATCCTCGTCTTGTTCATCCATAAATTCTACACAGACAAATAATAGTAATAATAATAATAAAACCTATGAAACTTGTTCAATATCCCCGTTGAATAATACTAGTAATGTTGAACACATTGAATCGAATAAGTTAAACAATGAACTTGACACAGCTCAAAATAATTTTAGCAATTATTCAAATGAATTATTTAAGAATTTATTAAATTCGTCAATATCATTAGATGAGAATGAAAAGAATTCCCAGCTACAAATTTATTATACATTATTACGTCAACATTTAAATTCATTATTACATAATCGAACATTATGACGCAACTAAAATGCCCTTTGTCTATAGAACTCTTCTAAATGTGCACAACTAACCAACGAACCAACTACCCCAAGGAAATTCAAAAGTACAGTTGACCGTCACTGCTCTATCCTCTCATTTTATTTGTACATTTACAAAAAAGCAGAATTATCTCCATAGTTTCATTATTTATCCATTTAAACAAACAATTTGATCATTGTGTGATAAATTTAGTTGAGTATTTAAATTTATTTGGCGCATTTATTGATTTAAAATTTAAATAAATCAACATATATATGCACTGACTAGTCATTTTATTGATTAATTTACTCTCAGTCTTATTACTCATATATTTTATTTAAATTTACCGCTTAAATTGATAGATAATAGTGAGTATGATTTATAAAAACAAAATTTAACATTGAATATTGAATGAATGTCGTTTGTCCTTAATATTGTCGAATATGTGATATTACATTTTGTTACAGAGACGACTTGTCTTTGAACAGAAAAAGAATATAAAGAAAAATTCGATGTGATCTAATTTTAATGTTATTGAATTGTTATCAACAAACAAACAGACTTTTAAAAAATTTTTTACTTAACGAGGAATTACTGATGAGATAGCCTGAAGTTCGTTACCATGATGATAACAATAATAATCTGCTTTATTCCAAAACAAACCAGTACTTATAATATAGAATGAAATTCTTAGCACTTGTCACAATATATCGCATCTAATTTACTCAAAATACAAATAAAAACTTTAATTGAATTTTAGATCGAGGTCAATCGCGAGCCTGAATAGCTCAGTGATAACGTCTCTGACTACAGCACTGGGTGACGCGGGTTAGAGTCTCAGAAGGGACATGAGTTCCTTCTAGGTTGCAGATACGCCTTGCTGATGAGTGCCAACTAGCACGAAACCTAGGTCCAAGGTTTCCTGCCGATTGCCTCCAACCATCTAATACCAACAATGAAATTAAGTGCTTATCAATGACGATGTCAACGATGCTACCCAATGGGATGCCACCACTCTCCCTACTGACAGTCAGTCTTCAGTGTTCTACGAATTATGATATAGTCATTTTTAAGCAACCCAACAAGGAATAAAGGTGGAGAGTAAGGAAAAATAGGTAAGGTGCAAGAGTGGAAAAACTGTAAGAGGATGAGGGGTTGAGTTATGCCTGAGCGCCTTAACCTCTTCTTAATGTAAAAAGTCAGACGAAATATTCTTTTAGAAATCACTAAGACATGGGAAGACCAGGATAGATCAAAAGAAAGAATAAGTTCAAGATACTTAACGTCAGACCTGATTTCTGTATCACTATCATCAATTTTGCAACAGTCATAGGAACCAACAGCTTCATCAGTTAACTTTCTTTTATATCGGAAACTGAAATTAACAGTCTGACATTTGGAAAGATTCAGTTTAATACCATTAGACGAGGACCATTTGCTGACTCCTTATAGAAAGTTGTTCATCTTACTACAGTCTAGCTGGTAGTTAACAGGAATTGAAACACTTAGATCGCCCACATATTCAGCACAGTTCATTTCATCAGAGTGAGGCAAGTGAGTCATGCAAGGAGAAAGAACAGCTGCTTGAAGGCCACCAGCCTCAGTAAGCAATGAAGTGGACCACATTACCTGACATACAGTGTCCCACTTTCTTTCTGAGAAATAAGAATGCAGCCATTTGACAACCCAACAGTCAGTTTGAGTTTCAACAAGCTTATTTAACAAAATATTACTAGGTACCACCGAGTCAAAAGCAGATGTGTAATCTAAGAAGGTGCAGCGAACAAATTTAGCACTTTTTTCAAAACTGGAGACACTGAATAGGAGGAAGTTTATGCTAAAAAGCTACCGGAAAAGCCATAATAGTAATATCACTCAACCCTTGGTTTCCAAATGGAGCATAAGGCCTCATTGGTATATTTCCACTCGTGCCAGTTATTTGCTATCACTTTTTACCAGTTCTACGACCGCCTACAAATTTTAATTTCCTCTTCATATAATCTTCAGGTAGTCATCGGACACCCACCCTTAATCGTCACTGCCCATTCGTATTCCATTAAACGATTAGTGTGGAGTGTGTTGTCACTTCAATACCTTCCTAGTGCGCATGTTCAGTCTATTTCCATTTCCCTATTCATAACGACTGAAGTACTGAGAGTTTCTTTGAGTGTATGTCCATCAGTTGGCCAAATGTCTTCTTTCTAACACTTCTATAACATATCTTCGTATTTCTTCTGCAGTCTAGACAATCTTATCAGCCTTAAACATGATATGCACGTCCCATATCTGCCTTCATCGAAAGAAGACACTCCAGATCCGTATTGTCACTTCCTTGTCTTGTAGTAACTCCTCGTAGTAAGGAGATACAGAGAATCCTTGACAGTCACGACGATTGTGGTGTTGCATATGTAGGAGAAACTTTCAGACTGGTAAATATCAGAGCCAAACAGCACAAACACAGCCTAAATTTAGTTCTCAAAACTCCTCTAGGTTTAAAGAATTCGGAAAACAAGGTCAGCAATGGTACTACTTTCAACAGAATCGGGAAACAAGATTGATTTTAAATTAATAAAGATTCTACAAAATGATTTCAGTTCATATAAAAAAATATTGGTTTTACAGGCTATAGATATATGTCTCAATCCAGAAAGTTTGAACAAACGTGATGGTGTCGTGTTAGCTGATATGTATGGCAAGTTTTAATTAGTAAATAAAACAGGCGTGTACCAGAAGTTTCATACATAATCAAGTTATTCTATAATCATTGGAAACCAGGATATCTGTTTCTTCCCAATTTAGGGCTCTTCAACAGATCATAACCACTCAATTACCCCACTCAAAATCTAAGTATCAATATCCTACTGACTAGTGGCTCCTGGACGGATATCCTGGAGTTCCAATGAAAAGCAGTCACCAGTAGAGTTCAGTTCATCATGACAGAATGAAGTGGATGTTTAAATATGGGGACTGATGTTAACGAAATGAATGATAGTTAAACATGAACTGTAGTAGAATTCAATCCAGACATCTTTACGTAGCTTAATCATCATCTCTGAGTACAAGTCTTTACACGATGTATGTTTCATCACGAACAGATGTCAGTTAGAGAACCATCATTTAAAAACACAGAGTACTGGACGGCTGTTTCGTGCTGACTGATTGACTGATTGACTGACTGACTGACTGACTGACTGACTGACTGACTGACTGACTGACTGACTGACTGACTGACTGACTGACTGACTGACTGACTGACTGACTGACTGACTGACTGACTGACTGACTGACTGACTGACTGACTGACTGACTGACTGGTTCCAACATAGTACTTTACACAGATATGCAGCAGTTCGACTTGCCACACTCCCTTCATGTACCACACAAACCACAAGAAGAGAGTAGAGAGAAAGATAATAAACAGAAGTGTGAGTGAGGGAAAAACAGCAGTAATCTGGAAGAACAATATAATTTTATTGGATATGATAAATCCCAAAGAGTGAACGCATCTGCACCAGACACTGAGAACGATTTTGAGCCATATCACCAATTGTATCCAACCTTCATTGGTATTTACCATCCCGAGGACCCCGACCAGTCAGGAAGTTTACACCTCTCTACGTGGCTGACATAAACTAACTGTTGTGGATTTCGTGGACTGATGCCAAGTTTTGGTTTTACCAACATGTGCTAGCTCTTTTCCAACCTCATGGGTCCTAAATCAGCTAATATAGACCGCCGAAGAAGGCGATGACTGGGCTAGCATGCGTAAGACATGTCCTAACCATCTCAGTCGGTGTAGTTTCACAGTCCAGCATTGTGTCGAAGCCTAATCTCAACATTGCCTACCCTATTATACCACTCAACATGGAGACAGAACGCAGACACCCATGATCAAAGACAGCTAGCCCTTACATTCATGTCTTCCACTTCCAATGACCATGTCTCACTGACTGCAACCAAGGAGTACGAAGCGAACTGTTCCTACGCAGTATACACGTCCTTTGGTCAATAGCCGGATATCACGTCTATCAAACCAGACATGGCGTAAGTAAGTGGTCAACATGCTCAGCCAACACTTCACTCAATCCATATTTTTAAGCTAGGAGTGAATCGATGTAGTCCAATCCTGTAGCATCATCTTGCATTTGACAGAAGAAGCGAATCGCATGTGAAACATTCGAAGACTACTGCCCCTCAAGTTGTTCAGAAGACTGTGCATTTTTCAGCATCTTCACCTAGAAGCAGGACTATATCATGTTTCATCATGAACTAACATAGGTTAGAGAACCGTTGAAAACCAGCTAGGGAGTACTGGACAGCTATTTTGTCCTAGTTTGGGACTCCTCACCAGTACGCATCCACTAGGGCTGGAGCCCAGGAACCTCCGCAACGCATTACACAGTACGAGCCCGAGTGGGTGCGTACTGGTGGAGTGTCCCAAACTAGGGTGAAACAGCTGTCCAGTACCCCCCCCAACGGTTCTCTAACCGATGTCAGTTTATGATGAAATCTTGAAAGCAATCAAATCTCTGCCAAACCAATACTCAAATATTAATCTCATGCTTACTAGAGGTAGGTAGTCACCTGGGTGGGTTTCAGTAGGAAGTCATGACCAGTGTGGAGTACAGCAGGTTAGGTGTGAGGAGAAATACTCACCGACCACATTCGCTAGTGGTCGTGCCATATCGTAAAATTAACAGAAGTTGGAATTCGCGAACTGACTATTGGATCGGGTCCCAGAGGCCCAGTGGTCTACAAAATCGCCTCTTACCCGAAGGTCCTGTTTTCGAACTCTGGAGGTGGCTGCGTACTGCCGAAGAGTCCTGAACTGATGTTTTAATTACCTGCTAATCTTATTATTTTCACGCACCCTATTGAGATTTACACATTTCATGAGCTATTCTATGAAGTATATAACTAATTATATTATCAAAACTAAAATCAAAAATATGTACGACTGTACAGCTTGCTAATATATTCCTTGAAAAGAATCTCTCAGATTGTAACGACAGAGGACAAGGGCCACGCAAGAGACCGTTTATTCAGAAAATCAACAGAAATTTAT